AACTTTAAATGAGACTCGTACATGTTCCCGTGTTAAACTGAGGTAAAGTGGCAGCACCGGTCAAACGACTCCACGTTGAGTTGACGTCATGTCTTCTCTCTCCAGCTGTGGTCTGCGGCAGTGCCCCCATGAAYCCTCGGATCCTGGGGGGAAGCTCAGTGGCGACGGCCGGCGTGTGGCCGTGGATGGTCAGTCTGCAGAAGAATGGAAGTCACGTGTGTGGCGGGACGCTGGTGGCCGTGGACGCTGTGCTGAGTAACGCCAACTGTTTTTCAAGGTGAGACACCTGGAGAGAATCAGATCTGCTGGATGAGCTTCACCTCTGGACAGTGAAACTATGGGATGGAAGCAGATCAGGTGTTTAAAGAGTTGAGATCTCCTCATGTGGTTCCCTCTCACTCCCACAGTTCCCCCGCRGCGTCTGACTGGACCGTCGYCCTGGGTCTTCTGAAACTAAATGGATCGAATCCCTTCGAGGTGAAGCTGAACGTGACAAACATCACCCTGAGCAGCCTGAACGGGTCCAATGTCGCGGTGCTGCATCTGGAACCTCGACCGACGCTGACCGACTACATCCAGCCCGTCTGCCTGGACACCGGGCGGGACTTCAGCGTGGGCTCCACGTGCTGGGCGGCCGGCTGGAGCTCTGCACAGGGAGGGGGTGAGTTCATGGAACAGCCAGTCTGACACAGGAACCATCATGCATCATTCACATGTTCATGATATGTGATTCACATGTTCTTCCGCTTCAGAGGAACAAGTTCTGCAGGAGGTCAAGACGTTGGTGTCAGACTGTGGCAACGTGTCCGCGACCGACAGCTTCTGTACAGGAAGTCTGACGCTGGGGAAGGTTAATGATGAGACCGTTACTWCTGTTGTTATTAATGAAGGTGTCGACCATCAGCTCATGGTAAAAATCCAAACAGCATGTTGGATGTGACTGTGTCTCTGCTGTTTGCTCAGGAGGCCTCTGGGGGTCCGCTGATGTGTCAGCAGGACGGCTCTTGGTTCCAGGCGGCCGTGTTATCAGCTGAAAACTCCACCAGACAAACACGAGAGGATCCCGTGAGCGTCTTCCCCAAACTGAACAAGTTYGATGAATTCTTCTCTCGGACCTTGGGGACGTTATTGTCTCCAGCGTCAAAAAACACCACAGCAGCCAACACCACCACCACCACCACCCCGAGCAGCAGCAGTGGGACCCTCCCTCACCTCGTCCTCCACCTCGTCCTCCTCTCGCTGTGTCTCCAGCTCTTCTTATAGAAACCTCMGACTCTGTGAAGTCATGATGTGACTGATACGATTCTAATGAAGTCTCTTTAAGTTTTATATGAAATGAGTAAAATCKGAGTTAATGATGAACAACTGTTGAWGCTGCAGCGTGCGTGACACTGTTCGGAGCCTCTCGCTCCAGGATGTCGTTGCTCTGAAGCACCTCTCGATCTTTTTCAGTAAAATGATTATCGTATAATCTTTTGTGTCAAATTGTGAATCCTGAAGATGATTGAATCTTTTTTTAAATTCTGTGATTCTGTGATTGATTTAATGAGAATGACATGAAACCCGACCTYCAGCGCACAGGGATGGTTTTTATTGATGCAGATAGAGTTGAACTTAGAGTGAGGAACAGAAAACTGTGGACAGTCCATCACCTCAGGTCGTCACAGAGCTGAGGGTGAAGGTCTGATGAAGTGATGAACAACTTCAAGTCAAATCTTGCCACGAAATAAAACTGCACTGAATCTGAAGCACTGTCGACATTTCCTGTTTGTTTGTTTACACAAAAACTACTCAACAGTTTTCCAGGAAACTCGGAGGAAGAACGAGACGTGGAGACTGAAAACCTGTCGTCTCTTGAAAGAAAAGTTAAAGCGTTAAAAAGATCATTTGGATGTTTACTGGTGATTTTATGTCGTAGATAATAAAACGTGAAAWTGTCTTGAGCTCATTCAGCGAAGGAGAAAACTGACGTAACGTTCAAAAGTCTTCACCAGCTCTCACTGACTGCCCCCCCGCTCACAGAAAACATGTGATTTAAACACGACGCTTAACTTTTCTGACCATTAGTCAGATCATCAGAGAACCAAGAGAAATTCAAACTGACGAATCCATTTCAAGCTTTTCAGACTTTAATAAAACTTTWCAAGATGAAAAATAGAAATGTATAAAATAACAGCAAAAAGCTACTTCAGTGTTTTTTTACATGTAAAACGTTCTCGTACATTAAAGTCTGACGAAAAGAACGACAAAAAAAATATCCGAAAATAAATGGACATCTTCAGGCGGAGCCAGCACTCGGAGCTCGGAGCCACAGACGGAGGCAGGAGGTCAGACATGTCGAGAGCAGGTGGGACAGGAAGCTGAGCAGCACACTGTGATTGGCTCTTCATCAAATCAACAGAACAGTGGGACAGCTGGCTCAGGAGGACTCAGGGTCGGGGGGGACATTATTTAAGGTCCGGCTGTTTGAGACCATGAACCAGTAAGTTTGTAAAGTTCATTCTGACAATTGTTTGACATCATCTACTTCCTGTCCTGCGTATTATGTCCATCTACTCTGCACCAGAACGCTCTTGATGTCTGAGGGAAATGTGTTTCTGATGAAGTCTTCACTTGTTTATTAAGTGGACGCATGAATTATGTGAGAAACTTTTATCATCACTCCATCCTGCATCCGTTCATCTTTTCTTCATCCACCAACCTGCTGTGAACTCAATACGTGTTTAATGTCTCTTGGATCCATGTGATGAGATCTGGGACCCAGTTCCCTTCAACCTTCCTGAACCAGGTTCAATAAATTCAGGGGGTTTACACATGTAAAGTCTTTTTCAATGACCACGGAGAACCAACCTGGTTGTTTGCTGAGAAAGTGAATATGAGGATATTGTCACTGTCTGTGTGGCTCCCATGTAAACGTGTGTCTGGATCAGCTGTTAATCAGGGAGAGTGGAGACAGGTTTGAATGATCAGTTCCTGGACAGGATCAGGACGGAGCAAGTTAAGTGAATCTGTTCTGTAGAACATTGTAGTTTGACTGTGAGCAGTCACAGAGAAATTCAGTGGTTATAGTAAAACTTAGTATGTGTGCAGCTCACAACCACAGTTTCCTGAGCAGGAGGTGAGAGACGGTGAGAGGAGGATGAATGTTTCCGGCTCCATTAAAAGATTTCTGTTCGTTAATATAACTGTTCTTCATCACAGACTCCGTCCTGTCCACGAGGAGCCTGTCRCTGACGCCGGAGTGAGTTTACCTCCGTCCTCGTCTTCTACTTGATCCTGATCTCGAAGCAGAGGCAGTTGCAGGACTCGCACTCGGGAGGCTGACAGGTGCAGGCACAGTCCCACTTGGCACACTGGGAACACAGGTCCGACACTAACATGTTAATGTTCATCACCACACCCTGTTGACAAGTTTCCGCTGTACAGTGTCAGGCTCTTGTTCCTGAATGAACGGAGTGTTTTCAGGTGGAAACTTCAGTCTTAGATAAAAAGGAGATATGGTGAACAGGTTCTGTCGGATGCTTACAGTCGGAGCAGGACACGAATCAGCCAGACATGAACGCACGGTTGGCAGACGACAGTTGCACATTTCAGCGAGTCTGAAGCACTGTTCACACACAGAGATGTTCGGACAGCAGTCACCACAGTCTGAAGAGCAACGGTCCTTAGAGAGAAAACAGCAGCAGAAACCAGACGTTTAACAAACGTTTAACTCGCGTGTTAACGACTAACAGGGACACAAGCTAATGAAGCTAACACCACTATCTGACCACGTATTCACCTTCTTCTGGCTAATTAGGATGTTTAGTAAATTACATTTCATTTGATGTTCTGGATAGATGATGTTGGATTTCTATTGAGATGCGTTTGTTTGAGCCTCTGTTCAGTCTGAACCCAGGAGAAGATTCTTACTTTTGACGTGGAACTTGTGTTGTGTCTCAGCCTCCTCAGTTTTATGTAATTACGATGATCTTGTTTGTGTTTAACTATAACTAAAAGAAGTGTGCTCATGAACAATCTCTTTTAAATCTTTAAAAACACAGATCTATCATTTTAAATGATAAAATCTAGATTCTATGTGAAAACGAGTCTGATGGAACAGTTTTTATATAAATTAGTCTCCAGTGAAAATGAACCTGACCTTTATCCTTCAAACGCTCAAACTTGAATAACGTCAGACGATTGTTCTGTAGCACAAACATATAAACTATTCAAATGAAGAGTAAGGGACTGATGCACGGTTTGTCTCGTGCTGTTTCATTTCTTCACATTCTACTTCCGACAGTTCAGTTCTGTGTTCATGCTGATGCTTGTGAATCGGCCACAACAGGTCAAAGTCCACTTTCCTATTTATTTACTTGCACACGTCTGCTCTCAGTTCAGGGCGAGCACTCTGTAGACGCACCGACTGAATTACGAGCACCAACCTTGAGACAGAATCGGACCCACAGCCCGACGCACAGAACCATCATGTAAACCCCCACGGTGATCATCAGAACAGCTGGGAGCGGGATGGAGAGCTCCCAGATGTTCAGCACCTGAGGAACAGACCGACAAACTCATGTGTACGAGCGAATCTGACAGAAGATGTTTCATCTGGTGAAATATCTGAGAATCAGTTCTTACTGTCATCGTCTCTTTTTGAGGAGGAATCTTTAACGAGGATCACATCTGGAATGAAAACAGATGTGTTGAAACCGGGTTTTTATCCAAACGCTCCCAAAACATCCTATTTACAGAAAATGTTTCAGTCTGATCAAATTATTTCCAGAGAATCACAATCACCACAATCTGAGTAAATGTAGAAGTAAAGAACGTCGTGAAGGAAGAAACAGTGAAGTACAAGTTCTCTACTTCTAATGGGAGCTGAACACATTTCAACCACTGCTGAGTAAAGTAATAATAAACTCTGCTTTCATAGAATCTAATCTAATAATACAGATAAACACCTAAATATAATGTTACAACAGATTATAAGTGAGAACGACAGGAAAGAAAGAAAGTGAAAGAAGTGCAGGAGAGTCACACTTTGTTTTAAAGACTTTCACTGAACCAGCTCCTCACGTCTTCTTCTGGCTGATGTTGGAACCTGTGATGGATTCAGATGTTCTCAGTGTTCCAGAGGGAACATGGTTCTCTAGATGTTCTCAGTGTTCCAGAGGGAACATGGTTCTCTAGA